AGTATTACCAGGGAAGAAAACAATTGATGAACACATAAAATATTAAACATGCAATAAAAATACTACATCCTGTGTAGGGATACCTACATATGTGTTACAAGTATAAAGAAATTAGTGACAGTGATAAACACAAAATTCATAATCCTGATTACTTTGCCTCTTGGGCAATAAAACTGGGGAGGGATACACAGAGGACATCAAATGTGTTGATGATTTTATTTCTTAAACTGGTTGATAGGCATATGTGTTTATTGTATAATTCTATCTTTTATATTTGGTAGAAGGAAAAAAGCCACTAATGGCTCTTAGGATTTGAGTGTCTTATAGAGCCAAACATCAATCATGTCTACTCCCTATAATGGTCCATATCCTTCCCCAAAATGAATTCTTTAAAATTCAGTATTCTCAATTTCATCCAGACATTTAAGGCATATTTGTAGACAAACTGTACTATGTATTTTGGGGGTGGCTACCCATCAAAACACAGTAAATAAAAGGCAGTGCAATGCGGAAGGTTGATGTTATCTGCCTGAGGGAAATAAGCCTCTAAAGCTGATATTCAGGGCAGCTATGCAATGGGGTTTAAAATTCAATGTTTATTCTTATTATCAACCTGAATAGTAATTTAACTAATCGGTGGTTCATTTGAGATGTCTGTATTTGCCACACACAATCCAAACAGCTACAGTCATTGGTTGGAAGGAATAGTCTCTGTGGAGACATCAATATGCAAAGAAGGGCAAGACCTAAAATCCTTCTGTTAATTCTCCACCCAGCTGTTAAGTGCATTTGTGAAATTAGAGTTGACCTATAAGTGCACTGTAATGCTTTAAAATGTAGTGTTTAAAAAAATCAATATGGTTAGGGAAGTATACTAATTAGACAACATCCGAGTAATTACAAAGTCAGTATTATGTCAACATACATTTTTATTATCTTGAGTCTGGTATTCATCTGAGAGAGACCTCCCAACTTTCTATTAAATATGTCCTTCCCAAATTACCAGCTAAAATCAATCAATACGTTCTTGAATTCTGTGGTTAAAGAGATGAGTAAAGGTAGTAGGGGTAAATTCAGAAGCAAAAAAGAACACATTCTCTATTTTAAATGAAAACTGATATTGGTATAGTTGCAAACCTTACTTAAGGAGCAGGTCACATAACCACTCTTGCCCCCATCCCCTGAAGCTAAAGGACAACTGAAGTAAGTGAAGCAGAAGAAATTTGAATACAATATACTCTGAACTACATCCTTAAGCAATATGGCAGAGCAATGGGTCTCTAGGAAATAACTACAGTAAATGGACACTGAGCAACTATAAAAGGTGACTTTGTTCCTTTTAAACAAAAGCTCAACTATGACAGTGACTAAGAGAGTCACAAATAAAAAAATAAAAGCGTATTAAGTTCTCATTAATTGAGGCTCTAAAATTAATGTACAGACAGAAAAAAAGTTGGCTGTTCCTGAAAGGCTTTCTTCGGCCACACAGATTGTACAGGACAGCAATTTTCAAGATCAACAAAAAATAATGTGTCCAGATACGTGAATCTTGTAGTGAGTTTTAAAGTTCTCTACAAACATTCTGATTCTAGGACATATACATCAAGAAATGAATTCTACACTAAGAATAAGTTAGAATGATTCTTGTAGTTCTGTGTACTGGTAAGAAAATGATGTATTTATAGCATTCTTATAGTTAGATAACAAAAATTTACCAAGCTATTAAAAAAAATTTTTTAAGCTATTCCAATATATTCCTGTGCAAGATTTAGAACTACTTAGCCTGTCATAAGTTCAAGAGCAAATCACACTGTTTAATGGTTTGACAAGACGTATAAGGCAAGATGAAAAATAAAAAAGTTTATGAAAAAACAAGGGAAAAAATCACAATCTTTAGATCTGTGGGAAAATTCTTATCTAATTTATCTTAAGAGAACCAGTACGCTATCTTCTTTTTGGAAGTAGCAGCAAAAAGTTCATATAAATAAAATGCACACGTAAGTGAAGATTCATTACATTTTCTGTGTTAGTTCTCCCAAATTTCTACCAACAGTCATTGGAACATCTCCACTTAGATATCCCACAGGCCAAACAGCCCCAACGTGAACTTATCACCTCCTGAACCCCAAACAGGGAGTGTTCTATCACAGGTGCTCGTGTTAGAGATCTGATGTCCTTGACTCACTGTTGTTCTTCACCCCCTAAACCCAATCCACCAAGTCATGTTGATGTTATACCTGAATCTGGTTTCTCCATCCTGACTGCCACCACCCTAGTTTACACTACCATTATCACTCATCGAACTTGAAAGTGTGGTCATATATGTCAACTTTTTTCTATATTCTCATTGGAGGAAGAATCACATTTGCTGTTTTTGGTGCATTAGCTTGGATGCTATTTTCCTCAGAGATTAGCAGTTGGTGGGGAGTGATAATAAAAGATACACACAAGATTTCAAGTTGCAATTTTATTATGATTTTCTGCCCCAGAATACTGATTCTACAAACCAGAAAAACCTCAATGATTATTACATTTTAACATATTATTTTTTAAAAACTAAGCAAGATAGTAAAAATATTATTTAACATTGGTCTTGAAGCTATCTGTCCTCATGTACAACGTAGGTGGCCGGAAAGTAAAATATGTATAACTTCAGATGACAAGGACTCAAGAAAGGAAGACAAGAGGATCTGATTAGATGAAAAATAACTAGCTAAAGACTTACCGGAATGCTTGATTGAGAATTTGATAGTGAAAATGTTCTGGTGCCAATCCTATAACCACAGCATTAGGATCACTTGTTTGTATTCCTGTGGGTTGAAAAAATATGTAATTGTTAAAAAAATAGAATGAATAGTAATGTCATATTTTATAATAAAGTACTTTTAGTCAATCAAGTACAAATTTTTGCTGTAGCCATAATCTGAAGTTTAAGAAATTATCCTGCCCAGTGTACTTTGGAGGTATAAGTAATATTTTGCATGTTCTTACAGCTAGTTACTCGGTAACTAGAAGATCCCAACTGCAACTTTTAACCTGATGTTCTCAAACATGCAACAATTTCTAAGTGCTTAAAAAGCTTTACTGAATACAATCAACTAGAACAGCCATGAGTTCTCTATGAGCCGTTAGATCAATACCAACTGATGAGAGAATGAAAATCTAAGAGGCAAGGGAAATTAAATTCTCTAATTGGTAGAGTTGAGGTTAACATATTCATGATAAATATGGAATGCATCATAGATTTCATAGTATTTTCTAAATACTATCTAATCTACTTTTAGTTTCACAAATATTATTCTATAATTTAAGGGCTTGGTATCTGATAACAGGACTTGAGATAACAAGAACCAAACGAGAACATTCAACATCAGTTATTAAAAGTTTGACTAAAGGTTCTGTGATTATCCCGCCCTTAGGCATTTTCATTATCAATTCCACCAAAATGTGAGGGGAAGAAATAGGAAGAGTAGATTTCCAATTTCCTCCTTACTAGAATCCATGAGTACCTTGTAGTTAGTTTGTTGAAGGAAGAAAAGAAAATTGTTGGCTATGGGTAAGAGCTGGAGTTTTTTGTGTTCTTTTTATTATCTCTATCTACCAGTAGCAAAGATATTCTTTATGTGCAAAGATATTTCCATTCCTTTCAAAAACCCATCTACTTTGGGTATTTCCACGTACATAAAGATATTACAAGGTTAGTCCTAGAATGAGTAACAAAGGTTTCTTCCAAACCAGGTAGTTTACATATATATTCCAATGCCAGCTCACTGCTGATACTAGAATCTTAACCTCAAAAAATAATGTGTCCAGATACGTGAATCTTGTAGTGAGTTTTAAAGTTCTCTACAAACATTCTGATTCTAGGACATATACATCAAGAAATGAATTCTACACTAAGAATAAGTTAGAATGATTCTTGTAGTTCTGTGTACTGGTAAGAAAATGATGTATTTATAGCATTCTTATAGTTAGATAACAAAAATTTACCAAGCTATTAAAAAAAATTTTTTAAGCTATTCCAATATATTCCTGTGCAAGATTTAGAACTACTTAGCCTGTCATAAGTTCAAGAGCAAATCACACTGTTTAATGGTTTGACAAGACGTATAAGGCAAGATGAAAAATAAAAAAGTTTATGAAAAAACAAGGGAAAAAATCACAATCTTTAGATCTGTGGGAAAATTCTTATCTAATTTATCTTAAGAGAACCAGTACGCTATCTTCTTTTTGGAAGTAGCAGCAAAAAGTTCATATAAATAAAATGCACACGTAAGTGAAGATTCATTACATTTTCTGTGTTAGTTCTCCCAAATTTCTACCAACAGTCATTGGAACATCTCCACTTAGATATCCCACAGGCCAAACAGCCCCAACGTGAACTTATCACCTCCTGAACCCCAAACAGGGAGTGTTCTATCACAGGTGCTCGTGTTAGAGATCTGATGTCCTTGACTCACTGTTGTTCTTCACCCCCTAAACCCAATCCACCAAGTCATGTTGATGTTATACCTGAATCTGGTTTCTCCATCCTGACTGCCACCACCCTAGTTTACACTACCATTATCACTCATCGAACTTGAAAGTGTGGTCATATATGTCAACTTTTTTCTATATTCTCATTGGAGGAAGAATCACATTTGCTGTTTTTGGTGCATTAGCTTGGATGCTATTTTCCTCAGAGATTAGCAGTTGGTGGGGAGTGATAATAAAAGATACACACAAGATTTCAAGTTGCAATTTTATTATGATTTTCTGCCCCAGAATACTGATTCTACAAACCAGAAAAACCTCAATGATTATTACATTTTAACATATTATTTTTTAAAAACTAAGCAAGATAGTAAAAATATTATTTAACATTGGTCTTGAAGCTATCTGTCCTCATGTACAACGTAGGTGGCCGGAAAGTAAAATATGTATAACTTCAGATGACAAGGACTCAAGAAAGGAAGACAAGAGGATCTGATTAGATGAAAAATAACTAGCTAAAGACTTACCGGAATGCTTGATTGAGAATTTGATAGTGAAAATGTTCTGGTGCCAATCCTATAACCACAGCATTAGGATCACTTGTTTGTATTCCTGTGGGTTGAAAAAATATGTAATTGTTAAAAAAATAGAATGAATAGTAATGTCATATTTTATAATAAAGTACTTTTAGTCAATCAAGTACAAATTTTTGCTGTAGCCATAATCTGCAGTTTAAGAAATTATCCTGCCCAGTGTACTTTGGAGGTATAAGTAATATTTTGCATGTTCTTACAGCTAGTTACTCGGTAACTAGAAGATCCCAACTGCAACTTTTAACCTGATGTTCTCAAACATGCAACAATTTCTAAGTGCTTAAAAAGCTTTACTGAATACAATCAACTAGAACAGCCATGAGTTCTCTATGAGCCGTTAGATCAATACCAACTGATGAGAGAATGAAAATCTAAGAGGCAAGGGAAATTAAATTCTCTAATTGGTAGAGTTGAGGTTAACATATTCATGATAAATATGGAATGCATCATAGATTTCATAGTATTTTCTAAATACTATCTAATCTACTTTTAGTTTCACAAATATTATTCTATAATTTAAGGGCTTGGTATCTGATAACAGGACTTGAGATAACAAGAACCAAACGAGAACATTCAACATCAGTTATTAAAAGTTTGACTAAAGGTTCTGTGATTATCCCGCCCTTAGGCATTTTCATTATCAATTCCACCAAAATGTGAGGGGAAGAAATAGGAAGAGTAGATTTCCAATTTCCTCCTTACTAGAATCCATGAGTACCTTGTAGTTAGTTTGTTGAAGGAAGAAAAGAAAATTGTTGGCTATGGGTAAGAGCTGGAGTTTTTTGTGTTCTTTTTATTATCTCTATCTACCAGTAGCAAAGATATTCTTTATGTGCAAAGATATTTCCATTCCTTTCAAAAACCCATCTACTTTGGGTATTTCCACGTACATAAAGATATTACAAGGTTAGTCCTAGAATGAGTAACAAAGGTTTCTTCCAAACCAGGTAGTTTACATATATATTCCAATGCCAGCTCACTGCTGATACTAGAATCTTAACCTTTTTCAAATAAAATTTAAAAAAACTGAGTAAAAAGTTGTTCTGTACTACTTCAGCTAACCCAGAAAAATAATGCATTAATTATAGAATGCATTTGTCATTATTTTTGGTTGCTCTGTTTCTGATACCATTCTCATTGTTAGGGCATTCACTAGCTGACAGACCTTGGTGAGAAGCAGAGCTCACCCTCTCATTACAGAGGCTGAAAACACCACACACTTACTTTTTGAGACTCTCTGCAGCTATGGGTGCTGGCTTCAGGCAGAAGCTCTGCCAATAAATAGCAACCACCCAGGGTTTTGAACTGCGAGCCAGTAACTCAAAGGAGCAAGGAAAACCTCCATCAGAAATCCTGAGGCAGCAGTGCTAGCTAGAACATCCAATCTCTGGTGCCACTGGGGTCAACAGGGCAAGCTGCAGAGGCCAGTGCACAGCACAGACATCAGTGACACCTGATCAGTTCTGCGGCATGATGTTGTCCAGTGTTCCTGGCTGTACAGACCCTAAGTCTAACAACTTTTCAGCTGTCCTTGGTGATTCTCTGGGCTACCTAGCCTTTATTTCTTTTTGTCATGGATATTTTCAAAAATATATAGAAGTAGGAGGACTAGTATAATGAACCCTGATGTATCCCTTCCCTTGTCCAGCTTTAGCAGCCATCAACATTTGAAATCTTACATCTTACAAAAATCCCCCACATTTTTCTTGCCTTTTTAAAGTAAATCCCAGATATTATGTCATTTTACCTCTCCATATTTCAAAATGTATCTTTAAGAAAAAGATTTTAATAAAAAAACCCAGACCTTAATGTTATTATACCAACAGTTAATAATTCCTTTATTATCACTCAATACCTAGCCTGCATTTGAATTTTCCAGTATCTCAAAATGTCTTTTTACATCTGATATGTAACTGGTATTCAATAAGGTCTATGTATTGTATTTGACTATTATCTCTTAGTTCTCATTCAGTAACAGCACTCCTCTCCATTTATTGGAGCAATTGAATTATTAATCTTGGAATAGGTCCCACATTCTGGATTTGGCTGACCACTTGTAATATTATTTAATTTGTTCTTTTACCTCCATATTTCCTGTAAACTGATAAATATATCAAGAGGCTTCACAAGTTCACATGCTATTATTACACGATTATTTCATAGGCATTGCTATGAATTCCCTATTATATCACACCATTAAGTACAAGACTTCTAGTTGTTCTGTTTCTAGTGATGTTAAAACTGATCAATGGGTTCTAGTGGTATCAGCCTGATCCCTCCACTCTGAAGTTTTCCTTCAGCTCTTCACCTAATGTATTTAAAATTTATTTATCCTGGTGCTTATTTCATTGGGGCTTGCCAAATGAGTGATTTTCTAATTCTGCCATTTCTTTAGCATTTACTAGATAGAATTCTTCTATAAAGAACATACCCTCATCAAATATTTAGTTACTCTAAAATACAGGTCAAATAGGAAAGGCAGGATAAGTGCTTGTTTCACTCCCTTCATTTACCTACTTTCAGAATAAGTTACTGCCCTAACAGCCTTCAGTAGTGGCCATGTGGGGCTGAGCATCATTTTGAATTCACAGCTTTTTATAAACATGATGTGTTGTAGTCATTGCAATCATTATTCTTTCTGATGCTCAAATTATCCCTTCAAATTGGCTTTAGTTTCCTTCACACCATGCTCTTATTTTTCTTCAATAGTTTCCTTCCTAAGACAATTAGTTATCTCAGACTCATACAATGCCTGCCCAGATCTGGAATCTGCCATTTCTCCAAGGAATTAATGTGGGGAACAGTAGTAGACACCAGTCTGAGCACTGGGTTGTCACTGCTTCTAGGCCTTTCCAGTGGAAGATCTCTATCATATGTATTTTCTAAGAGAACAGGGGAATTGATGATGATGACATTTTTAATTCAATATTTAATAGTACGCAGCTCATTTGATTTTTATACTTGTGTCTCTTTTCACTTACACTTAAAATTTTGGGTGCTAACAACTAGCATAATTACTATTTCACTTTATCCCATATATAGCACTTTAACATAACAACATTACTAATAACACTAAGACTGCTAAATGGAGTTAAGAACTTTGCAGTTCTTTTATCCTTAGATTTTATCCACTATGAATGAACAATCAAAATACTGTATTTCAAAATCACTTGAAGTAATTATTTTCTGTGAATGACTTTGTCACCAATCTGATACAAAGTCAAGTTCATGTGTCCCAATTTGTTTTTAGTTTTCAGGGACTGTTTTTTTTTACTTATTAATAGTCTTTTAAAATGTAAAATATTTACATGGTTCCAAAGTCAAAACTATGTAACAAGGAACTTTTAGAGAAGTCTCTCCTAATCCCTCTCCTCCTCCTTCCCACCCCCTTTAAATAATTCATTTTTATTAGTTTTTCATTTCTTCCATTAGCTTCCTTTCACAAATATGACAAATACATACATACCCATTTCCCTCTCATTTTCTTAAACAGAAAATGTGTAAGGCTTCCACGCTTTACTTTAATATATCCTATGATCACTATCAGGAGATAGAATTTCTCATTACTTATTTTTCAGCTACAAAGCATTGTTTTGTGAATACCATAGTTTAATTGGTACCTCCCAATTAACATCTGGGTTGTTTCCAATCTTTTGTTATTACAAATAAGGCCAGAATGAACAACCAGATAACAAACTACTTCCTGAGAGTACAAGTTTTGAGGTTCTGCCTAACTAACCATGCTGAACTTGCCTAATTCTTATTTGTAGGGCCATCACATGGTATTACAATAACTGCGGATACACATTTTTCTATGCTGTGCCACTTCACTCTGAGTATCATCTATAAAATGAAGCAATACGGCAAAGCTTCATAAAACTAGAATATTTTTCCAGAGTCTATTATTTTTCCCAAAGAGAAAACAGTTTTATTTTCTCTTGATTGAAAATACTTTGGGGTCATTGCAAACACCTCACACTATACAGAATGACATCTATTTTTAAAACAAGTAAATATTGGTTTATTTCATTTAATCAAATTAATGCAGTGGCTCCCGGATTAGGATTATAACACACAACACAGTTTTATGCTGTGTTTTATCAACTGTGGGTCATGATCTTAGTAGATTGTGAAACTGATATAGAGGGTTCTAAGCAGCATCAAATATTAAATAAACCAAATAGAAAATAGAGTTCATTTCCTACAGTGAGAGTATTGTTTAACATAAACACACACACACACATGTACTGGGTTACTATTTAATGTGTTTCACTTATTGTGGAGTGTGGTCAAAATAGGTTTGAGAAACACCAATTTAGATCCAAACTATCTGTTGACCATTTCAATAATAATAGGAGGATATCTGAAAAAGCACTTCGAAACATCCAGTTTTAAGAATAACTTTTTTTTTGAAAAGTTTTTTTTCCATTTATTATTTATAAGCAGATACGAAGAGCCAATTTTTAAATTTTTCCAAATTTCCCCTACCTCTGAAATCAGGTAGAGCCCGATCATCAACTAGCAGCATGGGTCGGACTTCTTTCTGCTCTACTAAATTTCTGGCTGCAGTCAGAGAAGTGAAGATTTCATCTTCAGAGATATCAAACTTTAATTTCTTCAACCTTTCCAATAGGTCTTGCTTGCTTTCTTTGGTTGTATTGGTCACAAACCTAACCTTTACAGAAGTACCACGTAACCTGGAAAAGTAAAATTCAGATGTCAGTAGGCCGCTTTTACATCCCAGCCCCATGAAACCTTATAATTTGGTAGCACTTGCCAAAGATATGAAAATGAAGGATAAGTCACCAAGTAAATGTTTTTATAGTCAGTAAGCTTTTTGTCATCTACCCAGAATTGCATACCAATTCCCCACACCCTGTGGACTGCTTCATCTCAAAAGGCTGCAAAGTCAAGCTGTAAAAGCTACATCTACCTTTTTGAGAGCTTTCTATACGTCAGCTGAATTTTATTGCAGGGTTTTCATAAAGAAGTGAAAAAAAAATCAAGTTTAGTAACACTGTACTCAGAGAATATGAAAGGTGAAAGGTATCTTAGAGATTATGTACTACTGTAAATAACCATCTCTTATTAAAGATGAGAAAGCTGAGGCCTAGAATCAGGAGACTTGCTCAGTCCTATACAGCTAGGTGGAGTAGAGCTGAAATAACTTCAATGTCCTGGTACAGGGTCTGATCTCCTATATTAAGAGAACAGAGGCTATACCTGAGGATGTTGTTTTTCTTCCTTCTTAGCCAATTAGAGACTGACTAAGCCCTAATGTGTTTATAAACACAAACCACCTATACAGCTCAAAGAAACATTCCATTTGTAGAGGAAAATGTACTCCATACAAAATTGTTTTGATTCCATGATCTGTTTTTATAACCTAAACTGGCAATCAGGTATCAGAGAAAGAATTCATGATAATCTAACTTTCTTTAAAAGTGGAAATTATATTCTTGGTCCTACAGTATTTTAGTCCAAAATTTAAAAATAATCTTAATTTAGCTAAAATTTAACATTTTATATTAATACCCTTGCCTTTTATTTTATGCTGCCCCAACTGGACATAAGGCATAAAAATACTAAACACAATTTATAACATGCAAGTAAAAAAATCGTAAGAGATTTTAAGTATTCACCCAAAAACATTATATAAACCTGCACGATTAAAGTTTGCTGCAGTCATGATTATCAATATATCTGTGTTGTAGTTTTTCTGAAAAACATAAATTTGGAGGTTCACCTCTCAGAAGAACTGATATTTAAAAATAAGTATTAACCTAAATGTGAACAAGTACTCAAATAACCACATCATTTTTAATAAGGATTTTAAAAAAAACTTTCCTTTTTACTAGCCCTTCAATCTCCCTTAGTCTGTTTGTTTCTATAGAAACAAAAACCAGAAGTGACAGTATAGAGATTTCTCTGAGAAGGAAACCCATCAGTGTCAGTAAGAGAACAACTTGTGGGCTCCTGCCCCTCCACACTGGCAGGGCAGGCTCATAGTTTACAGCACTGCTTAGAGATGTCATTCGTTCAATCAAAAATAATGTTTTTCTTTCAATCCAGAATAGGAAGTTCATCCTTAAAGCAGTGAAGTCCTTGACCAAGAGAAGAGCAGACTTATCAACAGACATCCTTCTCCCTAGAAAGCCTGAGAGACCATGTCAAGGAATCAAAAGAGAGTCCAATTCTGGAATCAATTTTGGTTTTAAACATGTTGTCCACCTATAAGATGAACATTATGACTCCTAACTAAATCAATAGCTTCCAACTGATGCTACCAGATGTACAACTCTCTTCATATTTGTTGGTTCACCAAGTGGAAAGTAAGCTCTCTGAGAGTGCAAAGTTTGTGTCAGTTTTTTACTCTAACACCTGGTACTGTGATTAGTCACTAGATTTTTTGAACAGCATACTAAGAATATTTTAAGACTGGAAAATGATCAGCACCAAATGCTAAGTGTTGCTGATTTTGAGAATCAGCAATTATTTTAGGATACAGGTGCTTAATAACACTACTGGTTCTGTTGTTTGATGTGTGTTTTCTCAGGACACTCAGAAGCAAACATTCACATTCAGTTCACTTTACCAAGCTTTTACTATGTCAAGTACTTGTGTCAAGTACTGTGGTTGATATATCAGAAATATAAAGCAGTCTCTAACCTTCAAAAGCATTAAGTTTACTTGATGGAAATAATTCTAAAATTTCTAGTCCCTGCTGCACACTCAATGCTAGATCTTGGGTGAAGGGGGAGCAGGCAGAGCTATGCTGTTGTATATGTGTGTGTTTGATTTTGTGATTCCAGGATTCATTTCTGATTTTTCCAATGCTAGGTATTCTACATTTTAGAAGCTTGAATTTTCTTCCCAAATTTACATTACTGACTTAGAAAAAAAGAAACATGCAAAGAACAAAAAGACTAGATCAAAAGGCCAAACCTAATAAAGGCTTAAAGAACAGTGTTTGGAGGATATTACAATGCATACATCTTCCAGCTAAACCCAAGGCAGTTCCTGTATGTATGGTAAGCTGGTGAAATGCCATCTTAAGGCCATCCATTTAGCTAATGATCTGCCTTGGTAAAATGGCACTTACAAACATATTTGTCAGCTGAACCTGGAGGATAGCTTGCCTTTTAAGAGCTTCCTGCGCGCCTGGCACAGCTGCATCTTCAATGTGAAGTGTGCCATTGAGATCTACCAAAACAGCTTTTAATGCACGGCGTGCTGCCATCCTTCATTCCCTAGGAGAGAGCAAATGAAATTAAAAATACAGTTTAGGAAACAATGGACAATTAAAAACTGGTAAGCCTTCAAAAATATCATTCATATCCAGAAAGATACTGCTTAGTGTTAAGCTGCTTCTCTTCTGGAAAAAATGTGTTTTTTAAAATAAAAAATCCAAAATTTTATTTTTTCTAAAACTTTTATATTGGTTTGTTTAAAAAAATATCTTGAATTAAAACCATAGGAAGGAAATGCTAAAAGAGAAATTACTATTTAGTTTCAGGTTTCTTAAGGTACCTGTTTGATGGAATAATTTATTCATATATCTTTAAATATAAGAAAATATACTCTGAAGAATGGCTGGATGGAAGTCCTAAATTACTAGCAAAATCTTTTCCATCTTTTGCTTACATACAATCAAAATGTTCTAACTGCGCATCTCCACCATATTATATCCTGAAATAGCATATGTGGCCAAGGTGCTGCCAGAATTTTTAGGTCACTGAGAAGGAAATTTCAAGTTATACAGTACTTTTACCCAGGAGAGATCTTCCTTAACTTATAATGTCCGCTTTTCTTTTTGCATATTTTCCCTTTAAAATTTATCACATGCTATATCATCTATACAGTAGACTGTATAGTTTAAAGATAATAATGAAGGGGGTAAGAACAGTATGGAAGCTAAAGAGAAAAAGATTGGATTTCATTTTTAGTTTTTTAAAACACTATTCTTTTCATTTTTTAGTTTCTATAAATGTTGTTCTTCCTTAGATTTCGTCCTGTCAAGAGGCAGAGGCATGACAAAGATGGCCCCTGAATTCCCTCCCAGCTTCTAGCTTTCAGCTCCTTCGCTCCTCCTGTTTCCCTGTTCCCACTGCAAGTCAGTCCCCTCTGCCCACAAGGTGTAAATATAAAAAATAAACCTAGAGTGAGCCCCAGAGTTGTAGTCAGTTTCTGGCAAGTGCTGGCTGCTGATTAGCTAGCAAGGGCAGTGGATATCCAAGTGGCCACAGTGGAGAGAACTGCATTTTCCCATAAAACAGAGCTGTCCGCTTCGTCTGGGCTATGGAGGGAAACAACAGGCAGGGAGGCAGAGAGATGGTGCTCAGGAAGCTGGACTCAGGAAGCCCATCAACCAAGAAGGCCCAAGGCCTGCTCTGCTCTCTAAACATGCTCCTCAAACCTGAGCAGTGGTTTTCCCTCAGCAAGCTAGAACCTGGGGTTCCTGGTGAGCTACAGAAGATGAGGGAAGCAGAGCCAGGTGGCGAGGGTCAGATAGGTCCAAGGTCAAGGGTTAGCTGAGTGACCCTGCACAAGTGCATTTATCATCCTAAGCCTCCATTTCTTCGTCTGTAGAAGGTGAAGAGTAACAGCATACACCTTGCAGGGCAGTGAGGGTTCAGAATTTAAGGAGAATGCCCAGCAGTGATAAGCACATAATAGGAACATAGACAGATGTACCCTCTTCCTTCCCACTCATCACTATTAACAGGTACCTCCCTCCACACCCAGGTGTGGCCTAGAGTCAGAGACCAGGAAAAGCAAGGGGCAAGAGAAGCAACTAGCAGGAATCCATGGAGGAAGAAGAAAAGGAACAGCAGCTCACATTTATTGGCTGCTGTGGTTTTGCCCCATGCTAAGTGCTCTGCAGTCTTTACCACTTCACAGAAACGTCTCAGCAAACCCACACACGAAGAAAATGAAGCACTAAGGAGTTACTAACTTGCCCATGCTTTATCTTGACTTTGTACCATGTTAATGGCTTATATATTCAATTTTAAATTCAGCCAGTCCTGAAATAAAATACAAACAGAAGAAAGTTAACCTAGGACAACTTTTGCACCAAGTACTGACTCTAGTCCTTCTACAGGATATACTCAAAAGACAAAATGAACTGCAAGGAAATCTTGAACTTTACACAGTAGGTTTGTTACTGGTAAGGGTAGTGGTATGACTCCCAAACTACTATTCTGTTGTAGGATTGAACAAATGAGCAAATATACTGTTGATGTTTAAAAAAATCAGGGTTCTCATATGGGAGAAAGAGCTGTAAACATGGAATAAGGAGAGGAAAACCCTGAGTGCTGGTTTGGAATTGGAGGTGTTATTACGAATTCATGATTTAAATATATGTTATGTATTTCTTAGCCCTACCAATTAAAAGGATCAAGAAGCAACAATACTCCAACAGTCATCAGTGCAGCTGTTTTACCAGATCACAGGTGGGGACACAGGACAAAAGGACACACACAGTACCTAGCTTGAAGAGGTTCCCACTGGCCAAATCTGGGGCAATTTGAGCACCAAAATGAAAAATAATAGGAATGAATAACACATTGAACTAAAAAAACAAAACTATGAGTCCATGCTAATACTAAAAATATTTCAAAGGAATGGGGAAGGGTAAAGTCTTTTACAGAAGAATGCCAACTTATAGATGTAGTAGCAATGCTAGAAATGGAAAATTTTTTACAACCACCCAATTCCAGGCAGGAATCAATGAATGCTAAAACCATTGGATAAAAATTATTAGGAAACAGTATATTCACCCAGGCTCAAAGAGTCACCCACAAATTAAGAGTCACCATTTATTACAAAGGAGAAAAGATGCCTTCACAATAAAGAAACCTATCAGACACCACCTTAACCCAATGATCAAATTGACATCATTAACCCAATTTTTGGGATTCTAACTAGAATTGTGTTGTATTTATAGAGAACTAGTTGGATCCTGAGATCATTTTTATATTGAGTCAGCCTAAACAGCAACATGGTGCATCTCTCCATTTACCTAAGTTTTCAGAGATATCTACACAAATATCTTGCATAAATTTGTAGACATATCCTTAAATCACTCCTATAGTAAATGGTATTTTAAATTATCCTAATAGTTTAGTATTGATGTTATTAAGATATAATTTTTCTTATATCCTTTAGCCATTCTAATTTATAAATTAAACTTTATCATAGGTATGTAAGAACAGGAAAAACATAGTTTATATCGGGTTTGATACTATCTTCAGTTTTAAGAATCCACTGGGGGTCCTGGATCATATATCCCAAGGATAAGGAGGATTACTGTAATTAAGGGAAAACAATATTACAGTTAGAAAGGACCTTCAAGATCTTTAAAGTAAATAAGCAATGAAGATGGTACCAACTCATTGGTAATCAGGGAAATGGCAAATTTAAAGCAGAATGAGATGACTGCAACAACCAGCATTTTGGCAAAAGTTTAAAAGTCTGAAAATATCAAAGGTTTTTAACAGGAACTCCCATCTCCTGCTAGTGAGAGAATAAACCATACAATCATTTTGGAAATCTGTTTGGATTCACCATACTTCATAACCAGCAATTCCACTCCCAGGCATCATATTGAGAGATTCTCTCATACTGTACCCTTAGCCTTAGCCATGAACAAAAGTGTTGATAGTGGCACTGTAGGTAATAGCCAGAAACTGGAAACAATACAAATGTCTATCAATAGCAGAATGGGCAAATAAATTGTGGCATATTCATGCAAAGAATACAAATGACAGTGGAAGAATGAACTGGAGTTACATACATCGTCTTGATAATTCTCAGCAACCTACTATAGAGTGAAAGAAGGAAGTCACAAAAGAATGCATGTAGTATGGTTTCACAGGACTGCATTGAGAAATAGGGATGCATACACAGGTGATAACACTGCTAAGAGAAGGAAATGACCACCCCAAGAGTCAGGACAGTGATTCCTCCAGGGCATAGGGAAGAGATGTAAACCAGGAGGAGCACAAAGAGGCTTCTAAGGTCTTTTTGACCTAGACGGTGAGTATATGGGTGGTTTATATTTTATTATAATTATTTAAACTTATATACGTATTTTATATACTCTTGTGTAGACGACATATTTCACAATAAATATTAGTCATTATATTTTAGTCAGTCCATTTCTCATACATAAACTAAATTAGCCCAAACAACTATTGTACAGTCAGTATAACAACCCTCACTGCTAAGTAGTCTTTTAAGTAAATCTCTAGTTCTATTTGTTTTGCAGGGAGTGTGCAGAGGAAAAAAAATTAAGAGCTCTGGTTAATCAAGATTCAACAGCAAAATCCTCACTAATAGTCCTCATATGTTTTTCTATTTCTGATCTTTGCCATGACCTTGAAATGCAGGATGGCATCAACAATAACATCAATTATTACTTGCCTGAGAGGGGAAACAGCTTGTTAATCAAAAGCCTAAACTGTTCCTAGAGACTGGGTTTGGATGTGCAACAGTTAAAGTCTTTAAAATACAATGCACCACCAAAAGGTAAGGCTGAGCAAAATGAAGACAAAGTATTCTCTTTGTTATACAGAGGAATCTGAAATTCCTCTCAAACCCCAACTTTTATGAGAGACATCTTGTATTTAATAAAAAATGTTAAGTCTGAAGGTGATTAAAGAACAAGATATAAACAAGACTGGAAAAACAATAGAAGAATTGCACTGTTTTTTTAAAAACTGTCCAACTAGCACTGGCAAATGGTTTTTGATAAATATTAATAATTTTAATCCCTATTAAAGTATCCATATAGGCTTAACGCTACCAAAGTATTTTAAAATATTTTTGCTCTTATCAGTTCCATAGAACATATCTTTTAAATTCCAAAATGCTCTTCTGGAGCACTGCATATCTGAGAGTGATTGATGAAGGCCTGAAAGAAGAAAACTGAGGTGCCCCATGCAAACCTCAAAACATACTTCTTCAGTTCGCTCCCCTACATGCCTTGTCCACGTCTGCCATGATCTCTCTTCTTGTCTGAATCTTTATGTTACTTGAACTACAAGTTAGCATTTGATAAAATATAACTGTAAAATATTAATATCACTAACTATAGAACTATAAAGGCTTCAGAGGTAGTCCCTATTTTTCGTTTATTTGGGGTTCATGTCCTACCGTCTCTCGGTTTGAACAAGTTATATGGATATGCCTTAAAAAGTCATAAACAGCTGATAGTGAATGGTGCATATTCAATGCAAAGAACAGATGTAAATTCTCTCTCATCCCAAAAGGAACTCTTCAAGGTACTACTGAGGACATCATGCTTTGAATATCACAGGGCAACACAGTCCAACAAGTCCTTTCTACCCTCAAGGCTGCTCTTCTTCCTGCAATCCTTATGAGTGAATGGCAGCATCAGCCATTCCATATACCACCAGGCTCTCCCACTTGCTCCTCGCACCAGGTAAGTGTCAAATGACAGTTTTGCATCCTCTACAGTGTTGAATATACTTCTTTTCATTACCAAAACTATCTTAGTTTTGACATCACCCATCATCTAGTTTATTTCAACAACTTCCTGAATGTCCTCTCTGCCTCGAATCTTCTATTTCCAGCCCCAAATCCATTCCCTGAAATGCAAAAGTGCAGCAGTGAAGCACAACTAAGAAGCTCCACATACCTGGGTTTGAATCTCAACTCAGTAGCTGTGTTTCTTCACCTCAGCCTCAGTTTCTTCATTGCTAAAGTAGTAAGAATAACACCCACCTCTAATGGTTAATGATTAAAGAATGTAATGCATGTGAAGTATTGTGAGCAGTGTTCCACACATGGAACCGCTGGGTTGTGTGTGTGTGTTTTGAGGGGCGGGGGTACATGATGAATGTGTCAAGGGCTCCAAAAATCACAGGAGAAATATAATGCAACACCTTAAATCATGAGAATTTGAGAAAACACTTTATACTAAAATAAGTATGTATTTTGGTATATCATACAAAACTTGCATTAAGATTTAAGATAAAACAAGTGATTCCAATAAAAATTTTCCCCTGGGTGGCTGGATCTCTTCAGTTATGCCTGCTAGACCCCCTGGAGAATATGAATTCTTTCTTCATTATAGGTTTCCAGTGGAACCACTGTATGCACTCAATAAGTGACGGTATGTAGTCCCTCCTCACTTAAAAAACTTCCAGTGGTTCTGCACTGTCCTCAGGATAACATCTAAACAATGAACACTGTTTGTTCAGGGCCCTAGCTTACCTTTCCAACTCGCTTGTCTCTACTGCCATACCAAAGCTTCAAAGCACTGCAGCCGGCCACTGGTCCTATGCTTTATCTCCCTCGTAGCAGGACTTTCACCTGGAACCATTTTTGCTCCCTGACTTATATTGATAGAGAAAGATTTACGAGGACAGCAATCTAGCCGGGGTGGCTCCTCTCTGTCTCGCCCCCTCCTCAACACAAATAACAAAAAACACTCCCTTGGTTTCCCGCTCTGCCGGTTCCCAAGGTTCACTCCCTAACTCCCTCCCCCTTGCCTGCTCGCTTGCTGTGCACGTAGGAATGTTACAGATAAAGAAGCAGAAAGATATATATTGCTCCCTTTGCCTCTGTTCGGGTCTCAGACTTTTGGGAGATTCCTCCCCTCTAGAGGAGCCCGCTGGTGTGAAATAAAGCCTCAATACTCCAAGACCTCCGAGTGCCGCTTAGTTTTTCCGTCAGTGATCCAGTCCAGGTTTTTTCAGTATTTTCCGTAACAATAAGACCCCTGCTCGCTATATCCTTTCCCCTGGCCTACTCCTTTAGTTTTGGGGTCTTAACTAGGCACCATTTCCTCTGGTATTCCTGATCCACCTCCCATTACCCCCAGGGCTGGGCCAGGATCCTCCTGAGAGCTCCTATTGTTACACTTATCACTCTATCCAAACTGTTAAGGCTCTGGGAGCAAAGGGGCTGTGTTGCCTTTTCCACTGTTCTACTGATCGCTCAATAAAGACTTCAGAATTAACTAAACTCATGTATCCTATAAAGATTCCAAGAACAAGGGCCTTTCAGCAGTAACTCAAAAGCTATCCCCTTCATCTCCTGCCTGGGAAGGGCCTAAGGACTAGTCACTGCACTCGGCCCCAAAGGAGGTTCCAGGGCCAGACTGAACGGAAGGAACAGCAGCTTCGAAATACAGACCGGGGGCGCATCCCGGGTAAGGACTAACACACCGGAGTCGCGATCCAACCCTGGGCGACACAAAGCCGCGCACGCCCCGCTCCGCGCACGCGTGGTAGGGCCGCGAGGGGCGGCCCCGCCTGGAGGGTGGAACAGTCCTCCTCGAGTGAGCGCGCGGGTTGGTCCAGGCCCCAAGAGGAGGGTAGCCTAGAAAGTAACCGGTATGTCCCCGGGTCCTCTCACAAAGAAATGTAGCGTCCAGACAGACGGACGGTAGCCTGTCCCAGAGCGGCTCCTCACCCGCGCCTCGCAGGCCGTCGTCAGAAAAGACCCCGCTACCCGGAAAGTCAGCAGAGCCGTGGAGTCCACGGCGTTCTCCCGGCGGGCCCAGCGCGCCGGTGAAGCAGCCTGATTGGCAGCGGAAACGCCGCAGAGCCTCACCGGAAGTCCCGCCTTTCCCCACATCTTTTTCCAACCCGCGCGGGTCCTTCCCGGTTGCACACACCCACGCGGGGCTCAGCTCTTGATTCCTTACCACCGTCGTGGAGAACGGGTTGTTTTTGACAACTTCCTAAAGGGTTCAGCCTGCTGGAGCATGCAAGAGGAAAAACAAAACTGCTTTTGCTCATCAGCTCTTTTCCACTACATAGCACCATTGCTGAACCATCGTTAAGTAACTTTCTTTGCTGCCACCCTTTAGCTCCACCACCTTTTGCCCGTTGTCGAGGGCAGAAGGCACTCAGAAGTCTCCTTGGTACTTAAAATACCCAAATCTATGATGTCACTTCCTGACTGGCTCCTTGAATAGCATCTGTCATTAATTGTTGTCCTTAATCATCACCTCAGGCAGCAAGGTCCCTCTTTTCCTATAGCAACCATTGCAGAAAACTTCATGCTGTCAGGTTTCCTACCCTGCCTCTCTCAGAGCTACCACTGGCCTTGCCTGTTGTCTCGAAGGGAGCAGTATCTTGGGATAGGTAGAATCACCTCTCTCACTTCTCCCATCCCACACACGTTGGGAGACCCCCCTTGTCTCCCATGATCCATATAAACTCCTTGCGTGTAGAGATGGTCATCATACGCACTCTATGGAAACGACTGAAAAACTTTCTGGAGCAGTCTGATGTAATAGGATACACATTCTGGACCATATATGGACCCTGGACAAAACTGCTGCTGTACCCATGACTGAGGACTCAGCTGCTAGAACAGATCCAACATCCCCTCTGTCCGGTGCTGCAGTCAGCTATGTTGTGAGACAACCCTTTCTGCCCTTTCTGTCCGCTAGACTAGGTACCCTCTGCTTTTCCTCCCCACTGGGTCTGGAGGTTATGTCCTATTTATATTTGTTAAATCTGTTTTCTGTGTGAGAGCCTACTTGACTGAAGGAAAAGGAACCTATTTCTAGTTTACCCTCCAGAACTATGAGCTGCATCTTTGACCAGATTAAAATACCACAGAAGGACTTTAAGCAAATGGGTATATTAAGGCATTCATTTTTCTAATGGTTACTAAATGCTTACTCTTGCTTTAGTGTGGAGAATGGATGGGAGAGGTGCCAAGATGTATGTAACACCAGATAAGAAGCTACTCCAATGGCTACAAGAGAGATGCTTAAACTAAAACGTGTGGAAATGAAGAAGGCAAATTCAAAAGACCTCTAGCACAAAAAGACCTTTAGAAATTAATTGATTTATTATAAACTGCTTAGACAGATGGGATTGAGGATATGGGAGAGGAAGATATCAAGATAATTACTAGATTCCTGGCTTGAGCAATTAGGTAATATAACTGATGGTGTCATTCACTGTGATGTGTAATAATAAATTTATCTTGATCGCTAATATCCTTGGACACTGTCCACTATGTGTCCTAGGTGCTTGCACACAATGTTTTCACAATATCTGACATCTAATGACCAATCAAGGCCAAGGAAATTTTAGCAAAAAATAATTCCATTTTGATTAGTATCAAAATTTTATATTGCTGGTAACTTTGAAACTATAAGACAATGAAAAAGTGATTTAGTTCACAAAAACACTTTACTTCAGAAGAACATCTTTGAGGTTCATCTAGAATCAAAGGTTAGTGATCTGGACAAGATAGAGATAAAAGGCTTCCAAATTGGTAAGGAAGAAGTTAAACTATTTGTAGATGACATGACATTATACACAGAAAATCCTAAAGACTCAAAAAACTATTAGAATAACTGGATTCATTAAAGTTTCAGGATACAAAATACACAGAAATCTGTTGTGTCCCTATATACTAACAATGAACTACCAGAAATCAGGAAAACAATTCCATTTACAGTTACATCAAAAAATACAATACCTAAGAATAAATCTAACCAAGGAGATGAAAGACCTGTACTCAGAACCAAGATGCTCATGAGATAAATTAGAGACACAAAGAAATGGAAATCTTTCCCGTGCTCATGGATAAGATTTAATATTGTCAAAATGACCATCCTGCCCAAAGCAATTTACAGATTCAATACAATCCCTATGAAAATACCAATAGCATTTGTCGATGAACTAAAGCAAATAATACTAAAATGCATATGGATCCACAAAAGACCCCAAATAGCCAGAGCAATCCTGAGAAAGAACAAAGCTGGGGGGATTACGCTCCTTGACTTCAGGCTATAGTACAAAATTACAGTAATCAAACAGTATGGTGCTGGCACAAGAACAGACCCACTGACCAACAGAACAGAATAGAAAACCCAGATATAAACCCATGCATATATGGCCAATTAATATATGAAAAAGGAGCTATGAATATACAATGGAGAAAGGATAGCCTCTTCAGTAACTGGTGTGGGAAAAACGGATATATGCAAAAGTATGAAACTGGATTATTGCCTAACTCCATAAAGAAAAGTAAACTCAAAATGGATCAAAGACCTGAATGGAAGGCATGAAACCATAAAACCCCAAAGAAAACATAGGTAAAAATCTCTTGAACATAAGCATGAACAATTTTTTTCCTGGACACATATCCTTGGGCAAGGGAAACAAAGCAAACATGAACAAGTAGGACTACATCAAAGTAAAAACTTCTGTACAGCAAAGGACACCATCAGCAGAACAAAAAGGCAACCTACAGTATGGGAGAATATATTCGTAACGATTTACCTGATAAAGGGTTAACATCCAAAATGTATAAAGAACTCACACACCCAAAAAACAAATAACCCAATTAAAATATGGGCAGAGGACCTGAACAGACATTTCTCCAAAGAAGAAATAGATGAGCAACAGGCACATGGAAAGATGCTACACATCACTAACCATTAGAGAAATGCAAATCAAAACCACAGTATCACCTCACACATTAGAATGGACACCATCCAAAAAACAATGAATAACAAGTGTTGGCAAGAATGTGGCAAAAAGGGACCCTCCTGCACTGTTGGTGGGAATGTAAATTGTTGCAGCCACTGTGGAAAGCAGTATGGAGGTTCCTCAAAAAACTAAAAATAGAAATACCATTTGACCCAAAAATTCCATTTCTAGGAATTTACCTGAAGAAAACAAAATTCCTGATTCAAAAATATGTATGTATTCCTGTTTATTATTTACAATAGCCAAGTTATGGAAGCAACCTAGTGTCCATCAATAGATGGATAAAGATGTAGTAAATATATACAATGGAATATTATTCAGCCATAAAAAACCTGCCCTTTGCAATAACATGGTCGAGAGAGTAACTGATTGATAGTAACTGTATTAGTGGGGGTGAAGATTTAATAATATGGGTAACTGTTGAACCACTGTGTTGTACATTTGAAATGAATCTAAGATTGTGTATCAATGATACTTCAATTAAAAAAGTGATCTGAAAAGAACATATAAATCATCTGGAGATTCCTGTTCTGAAATAATTAATCCTATTTTACAGATGAGGCAAACAAAAACAACTGAGATCTTAGGAAGTTTGTCTTAAGTCACAGGATAAAGTTTGGCTGGCCTATTACTGTCTATCTTGTTACTGCTCATATATATTTTTCTCTCATTTCATGAATATAGACACATATATACACAAGTGGTTGCATATACCTGTAGACTGACTGCAGATCACACTGCTTACACTATCTAAGGCATTGATTTAAAAAAATACTGTTTAACTACATTTTAACTTGAGTTTTGTGGAAGTGCCTTAGGAAGCTTAATAAAAGTGGGATAGAGGTTGAACAGTGGACATTTAGGCCCCATCCCTGCTGCAACTAAAAATAACTGGACCTGCTCTTATCTGTTGTAGATAATGGAGCATTCCAGTTCTGTTATCATTCCTTTGAAAACTCTGGTTCTGCTGTTAACAATCAAGTTTGAAAACCACTGTACTTAAGGATTAGAGTATGACTTTGATTACTACCTGTTGTCTATAGCCAAGATCCTTCACCACAGGTCTGAGGCATACAGACATAAGGTCAGAATACATTAAGACCGTAACAGCTTGGATATTTGGACTCCAGAATGATTACAAATAGTTAATACTGAGAGTGGCTAAAGGAGAGGATGTGGGCAAGCAAACACGCACTTAAGTTTCTGTCAACTAAAACAAGATACTATGGCTACTGAATCACAACTGCCCTGGGGCAGTCAGGCATAACCTGTGAAAGCTCCCAGGCCATCTTTCAGGCACATTAAAGCTAAAATATGTAAGTGGTCTCCAGAGATGAAATTATTTTAATGTTCAGCGCTTCACTTTCCTCAAAACTGCTTTATTGTAGAATACTCTGATCCTATGCTGTTGTGATTGCTCCCCAGTGGAGTGCGAACTTGGACAGTTCCCCAACACTAAATGAGAATGAAGGTGTGTCGTGAGGTCTTACCATGAAAATGGAATCAGGCTCAGGTTTTTTTCTTTATAATATTCTGTATGGCCTGTGGAGAAATGGGAGTGCCTTCAATTAGCTGCTTCTTTTGGATCTGTTCAGTGTCAGACTCAGATCTTTGTAAGGCCAAAAGAATATTGCCTCTAAGTGCTAAATATGTTACTTGAGCCAAACAATCAACTAAGAATTCCTAGTACACTGCTTTTGTTCAGGAGGAAGCAGGCAGCCCAGAGATCATCCATATCTAAATCAGGCATGGCCAACACACATTGAATACTTGGTCCAAAGTTTTAGAAGTAACTTAAAATATGGATGAAAAATTGCTCATGAGTCTTCTTGATGCATATCAGCAACTCAATTTTCATTAAAGAAAAAAATTGATTGTGAATGTTTACTTTCATTAAATCTATGCTCAAGTGATTTTGCAGCAAAGAACATATATAAGAAGCGTTATACACAAAATAATTCAGTTAACACTAACAGGTAAATATTAAGGTTCAAAAACATGTGTTTGACTTGGAAACTTAACTTTATTTACAAATGTTCTCCTATAAAGATGCCATTCCACCCCTTTAAAATATTGTACTGACAATTTCCA